GACCATTGCAGTTGATTGCCGGGGCAACCGCTTCAAGTTGCACGCGGCGATCACTATGCGCGACTTGCGCGAGGCCGATGGGCTGACTGGGCCTCGAGAAGGTAGGAGTTGTTGCGGCGAGGGGCCCCATTGTTCGGCCCGCCTTCTGGCGCGGCCCGGAGGGCGTGGGAAGCCGTCGCCGCGGGCCCGTCGCGCCGAGGCCGCCGCGGTCGCGCGATTTGCCCGCCAGCCTGCATGAGCTGCCCGCGGCCGGAGGGCGCCGCTGGAGTGGCCAGCGCGAACGCTTTGCGCGACTTCATCGCTGTCGCGGCGCGCGCGCTGCCCGCGCCCTGTTAATTGCATTACCTCTGGGAGCTTCCCGCCTTCCAAGACACGCCGCTCGCTCGCCCGCGAGCCTCGACCACGCGCGAAGGAGGGCGGGGGGGGGCCTCTTGAAAGCATCCCTGCTTCTAAGGAGGCGCGGGCCTGATCTATAGATGCAAGGCCGGCGCCTTCTAAAAAGCAGCCTCCTGCTAAGAAGCCCCCCCCCCCCCTCCCCCGTGAGCGCGCCGCCGAGAGCCGCTGACGTGGTTCTGGCGGCTTGCAACTGCGGTGGGCGCAGGCCACGCAAAGCGCGCCCGCCTTCGGGCAAACGTTGTAGCCCTCGGGCGCCTCGGGGGCCCTTGCGCCGGCCCCGCGCGCGCCGTTGGGCGCGACGCGCGCCGGTGGATTTGCGATGGCGCCCGGGACGGAGTATCCCGTCCATCTGCACCACGCGGCATTGACGACGGCATTTGGCGAGGAGTTCTGCGGCGCTGGGTCGTCCAAGCGTCGACTGGCAGGCGACGTCGGCGAGCTGGCATCCATCGCGCGCCGAGCGGGGCGGGGCCCCGCGCGGCGGGCGCGGCGCCTCGCCGGGGCCGGCGGGGAGACTCGGGGTTGGGCACCAACGCGCGCTGCGCCCGCGCAACGTCGCGCTGCATGCAGGCTTCGACGCTGCCGAGGCGCGCGCGGGCGGCGGCCGAGGCTCGGCGGCTCGCGAGCCCCCGCGAGATCGGCGGCGTTCGCTTCGAGGCTGCTGGAGCTCACTTCAATTATTCGAAGTTCGAGGCCAGGCACTAGGAGGTCAGGGCGGGCCCCCTTTGAAAGATGTGGATGCCGCTCTCGCAGGGCCCCCCGTCGCAGCGCGGGCCGGGGCGCCGCGGGAGTTTTTCGATTTGGCGCAGGCGCCGGAGAACCAATTTGGGGGAGGTTGCCCGCTGAGGCCGCGGACTGCGTCATCCTTGGCGCGCGCCCTCGCGCTAGCCAGACGGGGCGGCGCGGCGCTGGGCCGACGCTCTCGGGCGCCGGGGGCGGCTGGCCGCCGAGCTGCAGGAGGAGAGGGAGGCCGCGGCGCACCAGGAGCTCTCGAGCGACGTCGAGACGGCGGCCCGCTGGAAGCACCTCTTCCTTTTCGCGGAAAAACTCTGCGCGATCGGCAACGAGGGCGCTGGCGTGGCGAAGCTCATGCTGGCCAGCTTCCCTGTCGCGGGCCCGCTCGAGGACTCGCTCGCCTCCCCCTCGAGGGAATCGCGCGGGGCCGTCGCCGGGGGGTCGGTCCCGGATCTCGTCGGCCATGCTCTCGAGGCGCAGGCTTCGGCTCGAAGGCTCAGGCCGTTCCGGGCGGTTTCAAATTGAGAGTTCGCGCTGGGGGGGCAGGCCCCGAGGCGCCGGGAGGTGCCTCTCTAGGGCCCACCCTGGGCGGCCGGAAGCGCGTTCGAAGGCCCGACTGACGCGCCGCGAGCGAGCTCAGGTTTTCCGGGCGCGGGCGGCTGGGCGCCCGTCTTGCCGCCCAGACCGCGGGCAGACCGCGGGCGCGGGGGTGCGCTCAGATTCCGCCAGGGCGGTCTGGGCTCGGCATGGCCGTGCGAGCCGCCTCCCCCGCGGCCCCGTTGCTGCTGCCTGCGTGGCGCGTTCTGGCCTGGGCAAGGCCGCCCCCCGCGCGCGCCGCGAAGGCGCCCGCCCTGGCGCCCCCGCCCCTGCCTTCGGTGGGGTCGGCGGGCGGGCGGGGGGGCGGGCTTTCGCCGCTTCGCGCAGAACTCTATTATGGCGCCCTCGAGGTCTGGCGACGCGTGGCTCGGCGAGGAGGTCTGCGCCGCGACGACGCAGTAATTAATTACTGCGTCGTTGGCTGAATTCGGTCAGCGAGGCCGTTTGTCTGGCTGGCCCCATGTCCGCACGGGAGTTCAACGGGGACCGCGGCAACCGCCGGGCGCCCGCGCGGCGCTTCCAGCTCCGGCAGGGCGAGGAGGCGCGCCTCAGCGACGACGCCTCGGAGCACGAACGCAGTGCAACGGTAGCGTCGCTATGCGCACGGCAGTCGGCTTGGGCGGCGTCGACGATGTCGCCGCCTCGACGAGGCGCGAGGCGGCCCTGGCCATTCGCGAGGGCAGTCCGTTCGAGCTCGTGCACTCGTGCACGAGGTTGGCGAGATACGGGCTGGAAAAGGTCCATCCCCGCAGGCTGCGCTCCCTGGTGGTGTTCGTTGTTTGTTGCCTGGACTTGGTCGCGGCTTCCCGCCAGGTGCCGCGGTCCCCGGCGCGCGCCCCGTCGCGATAGCGGCGGTGCGCGACTTGGGGGCCGGGGGTCGCGAAGTCTCGCGAGCTCTTCGCAATCGCCTTCGGGCAGATGGCAGCCGCGTGCGCTTTTAACCACGTCTCCCGGGCACCGTGCGCTATTGTGGCGTTCCCTGCCGTGCCCTGCGGGAGCAGCGTCGGCGACTTCCCCGTCGTCGCGGGAGGCGCGATCGCGGTGGCCGCGGCGGTTGTCGTTCTCCCCGGATGACAGGCGAAGGAGCAGAGGAGCCTCGCCCCGCGCGCTAGCTCGAGCGCTCGGCGTCGACGTGGACTTCTCGGACGCGGCGGCCGAGGGGGAGATCGACGCCCCCGACCGCCTCGGCAGGGTCGAGGCCGACGTCAAAGCCATCGAGGGCGTTCCGGAGGCAGGGTCGATTAATCACCAGCAGAGGCCGGGCGCCTTCGAGGCCGCGCGCAGCGCGCTGGGCCCAGACATTCGGCAGGCGCTCAGCTTTCTCGCCTGGAGCTCTGCGGGGCCTCGCGACTGGGAAGGGCGGGCCGCGGAAGTCGTCCGGGGCGGCGCTAGCTGGCCACGCGGGCGGTAGGGGCCCCCGCAGGCGAGCTCGAGGCCGCGAGAGGTCCACGCCGAACGGGTCGTCGCGTTAGACCCCGCGCGCTGCGCGCCTGGGTCTTCCGGGGCCCGCGCGCCGGAAGGCGCGGGGCGGTCGCGGGGCCGGAAAGCCAGACGCGAGCAGGTCTTTGGCTGTGCGGAGCTCGCGCGCTGATCCTCGGGCCGTGCGTTTGTGGCTGGGCGCGCTCGTGGGCCGCGACGCGCTGGCCTTCGTGGGCGGCGATTCGGCGATGGGCGCTGCGGCGTGCGGCGTGGGCCTCCAGTCCCAGCCTGCCTTCCGCTTTCCTGGTCACTGAACCTCAGAGGTGCGTTGCAGTGGCAGGGCCCAGGCCGTGGTCTGACAGGGCCGCGAGCCCATCGAACATGGCCGACGGGCCGAGTCGGATGGATTTCGCGGCTGCGATGCGCCGCGGAGACCGCTGGCACGAGCTGGGCGGCGAGCTGTTAGCTTGAGTCCGAGCGGGCTCCATTGTCCCGCTGCCACACGGTGGGCCATGGCACTGGGCTGCGGGGCGCTGGGGGCGTTGCGGGCTGGCCTATAGCCCGCGCGATAATTAAGTGCCGCGCAGTGCACCAGCAAGTGCAGCGAGGGCGCTGGCGGATGGCTGGACGGCAGGCATCCGCCCCATGCGCATATTGAGTCGGCACGCGCGCGCAGCAGCATCTGGCGACAGCATTCCGCATGCGGATAGCCAGGTGCGCAGCGAAGGTGCGCGCGCGTGCCGTCCGCCGCCATTCGGCTATATCACCTCCGTCCTGCTGCATTCCCCCCGAAAAACGCAGTCCATGGCGGCCAGGACTTGGCCCAGCGTGGCCTAGGGACACACGGCAGCAGGCTGGCCTGACCCGCGCGATTGAATATTGCCGCGCAGTGCACCAGCAAGTGCAGCGAGGGTTCTGACGGAGGGCAGGGCGGCAGGCAACCAGCCCATGCGCATATTGCATCGGCACGCGTGCGCGCAGCAGCATCTTGCGACAGTTTTCCGCACGCCGGTAGCCCGATACGAAGCGCAGGTGCGCACGCGTGCCGTCCGCTGCCATTCGGCGGCTATATCACCTTTGTCCTGCTGCATTGCCCCCCCCCATATTCAATCCATTTCGGCAAGGACTTGGCCCAGTGTGGCCTGGGGGAGAGGCGTCGCGTGCTGGCCTGACCCGCGCGATTTGATATTGCCGCGCAGTGCACCATCAAGTGGTTCGAGGGTGCTGGCGGAGGGCTGGGCGGCAGGCAGCCAGCCCATGCGCGCGCAGCAGTATCGTACGCGGGACATGCATTCCGCTTACCTCCACTTTCGTCGTGGTCGTTGTCGTCCTCCTCCACCTGCTCGTCTTCAGTTGCTGCTCTTCTTTCCTTGTCCTCATTCCTCCTTCGGCCTTCTCCTCCCCTCTCCTGCTCTTTCTCCTCCTCCTCCTCTTCCTCCTCCTGTGTTGCATCCCGCTGTTGTTCCACCCCCCGCAGCAGCAACTGGGTTCACAACACTTCGTGTGGCTCTGGGCAGCATGCCTGCCACAAGGCGACATGACGATAGGGAGCATCGCGAACGCCCGTTCGGCCCCAGCCAGAGACAGAGTGTATTCACCAGTTGGTCACAGGCTGTGTCGATGGGTTTGATAATTGAATTGGGTACTAAACCCTGTCGTCCGTCGCCTCCTACGCTCACTCGAGATTATCAGCCCGTTGCTCCGTTAGCCATTTTGGCCCACTCGTACAACGCTAACAGGTGCAGATGGGCTGAAGGCGCCTGCCGCGGCGGGTGTCCTGTGCCGCAACCGTTGCCGGCCACACGTCTGCCCAACCTCTTAGTTTCGACTGCCTCATCGCTCGGGCATTCTGCATGGTAACCCCAGTTGCTCCAGTCACTGCGCCTCCAGAGCTCCCGGGCTATGTGTCCACGCCGGGCCTTGACGAGTTTTTCCAAGAGCTTGTTGGGGAAGAGAAAAGTAGCCGCTATGATCGTCGGGTTCCTGATCGACTTAATCGCCTCGATAGCCGGGTTTCGATCGAAACGGCACAGGAGGACGAGTACCTTGATCCGACTGGCATGCTGAACAATAGCGTGGCTGAAACGCTGTCAAGGAGACAGGCCAACGCGAATTGCCTTCTTTCCTCTGGCTGCTTCTCCAAGAGGGACCGCCAGAGATGCATTACGTTGCTAGATTTGGGTAATTCGGAAGACGCGATGGAGGTGAAAATATCAGTGGAAGTCGGGGCCTCAGAGTCGTTGGCTTCCATCGATTCGTTGCCCAGGTGCGAGTCGAGCAGCACTTTTGCAAGTCAATTTCTCCGCTCGCCGTCGAGGCGGACGAATGTCCGACAGCTCTTCAATCCGACTACGACAGGTAGTATGGTGCAGGGGCAGCACATGGAGCTCATCAAGATCGTGAACGAGATTTTCGCGACGCCCCCGACGGTGGGATTGAGAAGAGGCGATGATCATCGCAGCGATCCATCCCAGAACATGTTGCTGGCTAGCACCGCAACGGTTGAGTGCTGCTGGCGCTGGAGCAAGCTGCGGATGGCCGCCAGGAGACTGCAAGGTAATACTCTGGTGACGTGGTTGTACCTGTCGCTGACGATATATGCCTTGCTCGGCCCTGACTTCGTAGACTACCTGGGACATAAGTCTTTAACGACTCCTTTGTCCATCATCAACTCCATCGTGTTCCTGTTATCGGAGACGCCTATGGCGAGTCGCCGCAGCCCCCTGCCTTTGGAAACGCTCGTGAAAGGTCGAGAGAATGTGCGGCCACGCTAGTGGACTGGTTGTTCGCCGGCCGTTGGAGAAACGATTGGGGGAACGCTGGGGGAGGACCCTCCGGGGCCGTCTTGAAGCTGGGGGGCTCTTGTTTTGGTGTGTTGGGCCTTGTCGGGGGACTCATGGGACCATCTTGGGCTCTCCTGGACTATCGAAGGGCGATGTTGGGCCGTCTGTCGCCTTCGGATGGCATCATGTGGGCGGGGTCTCTGGGCCGTCTTGCCGCCCTCTTGCGACCCGTCAGGGCTGTCTTGGGGCTTTGGGGGCCCTCTTGGGGCCCTCTTTGGCTGTCTTGGGGCTCCCTATGAAGCCTTTTGGGCAGTCTTGGGGCGATCACGGCTGCCTTCTTGGCCGTTCTGGACTGTCATCCGAACAAGGTGTGACGTGACACGCACTGGAATCGCAACGGACATACATGGTTTGTTTTCTCGTGGTCTCCAGGGCGTCCTAGGGGAGTCTTGGAAGCGTGCTGGGCAGCCTTAGGACCTTCCTGTAAGCCATCTCTGCCCCTCTCCGCCGTCTTGCCGACCCTGCGAGGGCCAGCTTGGGCGGAAAAGCACTTGGCTCCCTGGCTGGCGCGACCTTCCCGTCGGCCGGCGGGCCGGCCTTCTGGACGGGCCAGGCAAGTATTGTAAATGTCGGCACGGCGAACGCCCCCTCCTCCTCCTCCTCCTCCTCTTCTTCCTCCTCCTCCTCCTCCTCCTCCTCCTCCTCTTCTTCCTTCTCCTCCTCCTCCTCCTCCTCCTCCTCGGCACGGCAAGGGGGCAGCGGATCTAGCGGCCGTCGGCCCATCCAGCTACCGTCCTGAAGCATTCCTATGCCAGCTCCTGCTTCAGTTCCAACTGCAGTGCCTCGTGCACGTATCTTGATTGCTCGTACTACAGCTCCGACTGCAGCTCCTACTACAGCTCCCTCTGCAGCCACCACTTCAGCACCTATTCCAGGTCCAACTGCAGCTATTGCTAGTCGGCGCCACGATTCCTCGTAGGACTCCCCCAGCAAGAGCACGCCACGAAGTCATAAGGTGGGTGATGTCGCCCTCGAATGGACGTTTGTTGCGCTGTTGTGCTGTTGATGGGGGGGCGCGCGCGCGCGCGACAGTGCACCAGTGCGTCGTTTCGCCAGTAGTGGCGAAAGCGGGAGCATGCGTACCAGGGCTTGGTGTAGCAGAGTGTTTTCGCTTGGTTGTTGTCGGTTGTCTTCGTCCCACCCTGCATCCACCCGCGACACACCGTGCGACCCTCCCGCGACCCACCCGCGACCCACGCACATTCTATCTTTGACTGCAAAGTCGGCGCCAGCGGCGGCCCCGTTGTCCAAAATATGTGTTTGGCACCTGCTGCTGGCGCTGTAGTTGCTTGGACGATGTGGTCTCGGGTCTCTCAACGTTCAATCACGCTTGCAGTTTCGCCCTCCTCCCCCCGAGGCCGCTGGAACAGAAATGCGAGAGCGCGTGGGAGCGCACAATTTTTTTTGACAGCCGTGGCCAGTGGGTCTGGGAGAGCACTTACAGCATTCAATACTGTGGATTCTATGGGGCCGCAAAGCAATCCACTCAATGCCTCGCGGCAAGGTGGCGGATTTGCCGTTGAATTCGTGCTCCTCTTGCTGGGGAGCCCGCAGTACTACCGCACGCTGCCGTTCTATTTCGACATCGTCTGCCTCGTCAGCATGCTTCAAGACACGTGGATCCTGGAACAGGTCCTGGCCGGGTTCGACGCGGGGGACAGCATCTGGAACGAGCAGAGCACCCGCGTCTCGCGCCTGGCCAGGTCGTCGCGGGCAGTCCGGCTGCTCCGCGTTGCGAAGATCGCGCGCGTGGCCCGGCTGGTGCCGTTCCTGATGGCGCTGTTCCGCCGGCAGAATTTGCAGCTCGGGCGCATGGTCCTGATGAGGACGGGTGGCTGGAAAGCACATTAGCACTACGATGGCCCAACCTACTCTTAGCTTTGATCACCAGAACAGCTCTCGACCACCAAGATAGTACCGAAACTTGAGGGTTTTCACGTGTCGGGCCCTGAGAGGCGATTCTCGTTCGACACTGTTTCGATACTCTTCTGGGTGCTCGAAATTATTTCTGGGATCCGGTCCTAAGTACGATGGGGGCAACTTAATATTAGCATAATATTCGAACGCCCGTGGATGGTATGGCGGGGGCATTGGTTGAGGAGCGTGCACGGGAGGCTTCAGACCCTGCAGGCTTCCTTACCTGATGAGGGCGGCTGCAATATCCACTGCCAATCCGCGATTGGAGCTCCACTGGCTTCCAGGCCCTGTATTCCTTATCCAATGCCCCCACCGTATATCACGCTCTGCGGCGTGACAGCGAGGCACTAGAGACCTGTCAGCTCTCGAGTGTAGTATACGTACTTCTCACGAGCAGGTGAATATTTCACGAAGTGGTCCTCTATGCTGCCTAACACAAAAAATAACCCCACCGTACATGTCCGCGGGCGCTGGGCCCCGCCGCACCCCTGGAGCGGAGCCTTCGGCGTCGCCTCCGGCCTGCTGGGTGCGGTGAGGGGGCCCGGCGCTGGCGGAAGGCGTCACGGCGACGGTGGGGGCGTTCGTTGAGGAATGTGCCCCGAGAGGCTGTAGACCATGGGGGATTCCTCATCCAAAGGGGGCGTCGGTGATATCCATGGCCGATCCGCGAGTGGAGTTCCACTTGCTTCCAGACCCTGGGTCCCTTGTCAAAGGCTTCCTTACCCAATGCCCCCACCGTATCCACAGACGACCGGGATTCACGCTACACCTGTTAATTACTTGTGTGCCCTCCTGGTAGGAGGCTTTGGCGCGTCTTCTCCTTGCTGGACTTGAGGGGCGGCGGTAAAGTCTCTGTGTTTGACCTCAAGGTCGTTTACATTGTCATCTTGATGAAGTGCCCCCACCTCACGAAGAAGCCCTTGGAAGAGCTGATCAAGGCGGACAGCGTCACCATTAACGGGATGCTGGGCACACACGCGGAGGGAGAAGAGCCAGAAGACGTTTGCCTCGTCGATTGGAACCTGTTTAGCAAGATCTTGCTGAGTACGAAGCTCGGTGAAGACCTCCTGCGCAGCCACGTCAAAGAGCTGGATAGATCTGAGGGGGTGTGGCCGCTGACGCAGAAGCTCAGTGACAGAATCACCACAAAGGTTTGCGCTGGCATCCTCATCCTCATCGGAGCCGTGAGGCTGTTGGAGATCGACGTGGCGGACCTATCCATCCAGCAGGGCCTAGGGCAGCTGGACAAGCTCGCGAAGATCGAGGCTCAGAATCTACCGGGCGCTTCTGGGGAATACATGTGCGAGCAGATCGGGCTTTACAGGGATAACCATTGGGCCAACCCTTTCAACCGCAAGATATTGTACCTGCACCTAGATGGCTGGACCTACATCGACGGCGGCGGGGAGTGCATGAACCCGGCCTCCGCAGTCGACTTCGTTGGGGCCGCGCGGAGGGTCCAGGATATCATAGACAGCTCCAGCGTGCGCGTGAAGGACCTCTCGGAGGCTTGCTGGCCAGACACCAGCTGCCGGGACATGGGCAGCCCCGCGAGCGTGGTGCTCATTGACAACCTGATGGAGGAGAGGCACGAGGCTCTATGGCACATCTTCACCATGCTCTTCATCATCGGTCTCCTGCTGCTCTTCGTCGCCGTCGTGAACAGGAAGATCACCGTGTTCACGAGGGCCATCCTGCAGCCGCTGCGCTGGCTCGTGGACGACATGGAGGCCCTGGCGTCGCTCGAGATGCTGCAGATCTTCCGGGACCTTCCCGTTGCGGACGCCCGAGTCCGAAACATGACCCCCTGCCCACCCGTCGTCGCCATAGTCCCTGTTCTGCGTGGGTGTGTGGGGTAGTATGTTCGTGGGCGGGGTAGATCATGCATCTTTTCACGCGCTTGCAGTTTACGCCACCCCGCGTGGGGGCGGTGTAATTACGTCTCGCCCACTCCCAGGAGAGGAAGCGCGCGAAACGCTCGGCAGAGGTGGTGGAGGAGCTGGTCCAGTTGAATCAGGCCTTCCATGCCATGCAGAGCGCAATCCACTCGTGGTCGCTCTACGTGCCGCCCTCCGTGGTGCAGCGGCTGCACGCGGAGGGCATCGAGGCGGGCGTCGGCGTCGGGCAGCAGCGGGTCACGATCCTCTTCTGCGACATCTGCGGCTTCGAGGGCATCTGCAGGGGCCTTCAGCCCCAGGAGGTGATCGCGCTCCTCGGGCGTGTGCTGAACGACGTGGCGGAGGTGATACAGATGCACAACGGGACGCTGCTCGAGTTCATCGGCGACGAGGTGCTCGCGGTCTTCAACGCGCCGACCACCGTGATGCACCACCCGCTGGCAGGCGCCATGGCGTGCAGAGACATCCACCGGGTCCTGGACAGTCAGAACGTTCGCGAGAAGTACGTCTCCCACGCCGGCAAGGAGATCGAGATCCGATGCCGGTGCGGGGTGCACACGACAAACATATTGGCTGGCAACATAGGCTCGAAATCGCGCATTAAGTACGGACTCCTCGGCGACGGGATCAACCTGGCTTCCCGGCTGAAGGCCCTCAATTCGCGCTACCACACGCGTACGCTGGCTACGGACATGCTGGTTGGTAATGGCGACAGGCTCATGAAGTTCGACTTCGCTTTCCGTCCCGTGGACGTTGTGGCCGTCAAGGGGAAGGAGCATCCCACCACCGTCTACGAGCTGATGACCACCCCAGCCACTTTGACGCCAGAGTCCTCTGCAATGTTTGAGGCCTGCCAGAAGCACCGCGAGGCCTTCCAGAGCTACCAGGACAAGAACTTTGCGCAGGCGAGGGACACGTTCCGAGAGGTGGGTGATGTCCTCGCCCGCGCGGGGATCCCACATGACATGTCCAGCCAGCTGCTGATCCGGCGCTGCCAGAAGCTCATCGACGAGCCGCCGGATCCGGATCTCAGGGAAGACAAACATACCAATACCAGTAATCCCTTTTCCGCTTCCCGCTCCCTTGTTTTCGCCTTTTTGGCCCCCCCGGGGGGCCCTCGTCGCCACGGATGGGTTCACTTCGAAATCTAGGTCAGAGTTGAAAAGAGGTGCAGAGAAGCGCGTAAATCTGTGCATATGTGTCGCGCAGGAATGGGACGGCGTGGACCGCCTCGCGAGAAAGAGCTTTGAGGAGGATGCCATGCAGACCTCTGCCAAGGTCTGAAGGGCGAGTGCGACTATCTTCTTCCCCTACCTTTCCTTCCTCCCACTTTGCCTCACTCTCGTTCTCATGCAGCGGCTCTTCTTGAGGCAGTGCTGCCTTCTGTCCTGGTTGCAGCCCAGACCTGTGTGGGCTACAGCACTGTTCGGCCACAGCGTGGCACATCGCAGTCAAGAAGTATTGTGATTCCGCGTGTTGACCTAGTCCTGCCCATGTGAAGTTCGTACTCAGCATGTTGCTTGCTTGCCGTACCTGACTCAGTGCATGTTCCTTCTTCTCAGATACATCGATGGATGCTAGGAGGTGCGCAGGAGGAGATGTCATGATGAGCAGCGATGGATAGGGTGCTTTGGATCGGATAGGCTAAGCAATAATCCATAATCGTAGTATTCACGTGTATGTATACATACATATAGCCAACACAGTGGGAAGTGTGATGAGTCGTCATGCCCGTGTCGTGCCAGAAGGGTGCGGTGGCGCCATGCGGGCGCTGCCATGTGGGCCTTCGGTGGAGCTCCCGATGTGGCCACACAACGTGTGAGGGGTGTGCCACAAATACAGTCGGGGCCCTGAAGAAGGAACCCTTTTCGTTAGGGCAACGCCCCGACTGTATGTGGCGGCGCCATGCGGGCGCTGCCATTTGGGCCTTCGGTGGGGTTCCCCATGGGGCAACGAAGCGTGCGATGGGTGTGCCAACATGTGCATGCGGAGAGCAAACGCAGGGATGGGAGGAGGGAGGAGCGGGAGGAGGAGGAGGAGGAGAGGAGAGGAGAGGAGAGGAGAGGAGACGCGGGGCGCTGCCTCTTCAAACGAGGACCCAACACCACCAGACGGCTGGAGGATATTTGTCCTGGCAAAGGACCCGACCATATGCAGTTTTGAATAACGCAGTTGTGATGATTGTCCTCGGTGGAGCTTCTGAAAGGGGCCACGACATGTGTGAGAGGTGTGCCGACATGGACATGCGGGGGGCGGGGAGCCGCATGCGAACCTTGCCACTGGGGCCTTCGGTCGAGCTACCAATAGGGCCACGAAACGTGTGAGGGGGTGCTGAAATTCAAATGCGGTGGGCGGGGAGCCGCACGCGAACTCTGCCACTGGGGCCTTCGGTGGAGCTCCCTACGGGGCCGCGAACGTCCAAGGGGTATGCCGGAACGGCCATGCGGTGGGCGGGGAACACCATTCGAACTCTGCCATTGGGGCCTTTGGTGGAGTTCCCTATGGGGCCATGAAACGTGTGAGGGGTGTGACGACATGGACATGCGGTGGGCGGGGAGCCGCATGCGAACCCTACTTCTGGGGCCTTCGGCAGGGCGCCCTATGGGGCCACGAGCCGTTCGAGAGGTTTGTTGTAATGGTTAACATGTGGAGGGCAGAGGCAGGGATGGGAGGAGGGAGGATGGGGAGAGGAGGAGGAGGAGAGGAGGAGGAGGAGGAGAGGGAGGAGGAGGAGGAGGAGGAGGAGGAGGAGGAGGAGGAGGAGGAGGAGGACGCGGGGCACTGTCTTTCCAAAACTAGGACCCGACACCACAGGATGATTGGGAAAGGGTTCCAGAGCTCTCGACCCCTGGCATCCGTGTCTCGATCTCGCGCCGTGGGATTTGGTTCGCGGGCCCCTGGTTTGGCCACGGGCTCCTGGAGGCCCAAGCTTCGAGTCACCGCCCGTGCTGCTTCTCGGGGACCCCCCAGCGGTGCGGTGACCACACCGTGTGGTGAGCCAGTGGGGATTTTTGGGTGGCCGGGCTGCTTTGGGGTCGGGGGTCGTTCTCCCAGGGCGTCTCGGGCGGCTTGGGCGTCCCAGGTCCCGAAACCGTGCGGTGAGGTCGTCGGGGAGCCCGAGGTCACCGCGCGGTCTCTCAGCGCACCGCCTCGGGGCCACCGAGATGCTCCCAGGACGCTGGGCGCTTGGGTTGGTCTGCCACGCTCCCGCCGCTCGCGCGCGCCGATGACGCCGCCCAGGGTGCCGTTCCCGGCATGGTCCACTTCTTCCCCGCCATCTGCGACGCACAGTGCGCGGCCCCCCTTGGTTGGAGGACGAGAGGTGCACGAGCAGGTCGGAGGAGGAGGAGAGGCAAGAGAAGGAGGAGCAGAAGGCGTGATTTTGGTGTAACTGTTCCTTCGGGTTCGGGGGGTGTGGGGTGGCTCGTCACCAGGGCTAGATCCGCCCCGAAGTCCTGGTCAGATCAGTGAAAGCGATAGAGGGGATAGGCTCAGTGGGGAAGCCATCATCGACCCCAATCGCCAATTCATCGCCTATAGGAGCCCGATGTCCCACCCCACACAGGAACGTGCGGCGTCGCTGTCGGGGGCTAGTCGCCGATCCATCGGCGATGTATTGCCGATTCCACGTCGGTGTTTCGCGTTCCCCGCCCCTCGAACGATTCCCCCCCCTCATCGTTTCCCCCAGAGCGCGCTCCGGGATGAAGAGGCGGAGGATGAGGTCCTTGACCTCTAGGCTTGCCGCGGGAGCAGATCAGTGCGGGCGGCTGTGCGCTGTGTGGGCCTCTGCAGACCCGTGCTGGGCTCCTGCGGCCATCAAACGGCAATCTCGCGGCGAGAGGGAACATGGGAGAGGAGAGATGAGAAGGACACGTGTATCTGACATCCTACCTCTACCACGCATTGCACTGTTTTTTTCTCGATCCGCCAGCGTGTGTCATAGCGGACCTGGAAGTCCTAAAGGGACCCCAACGTTTCACGCGCAATCTGAATCTTTGCCAGCGTGGACCCAAACAGTAAGTCATTGCATTGTGGATGTGTAAGCTGTGGGGTGCAAGCTATGCTTGAGAGCCCGATGGTGCAAGGTATGTGGCGCAACCAACGGGGCGCAAGCTCTGTGGTGCAAACCTGGTGATGTGGTTTATGGTGTGTAGACCACGTGGTGCAATCCACACGGCATGTGCTATGTGGCGCAACTTGGGCGGCGCAAGGCGTGTGGTGCAGGCTCCGCTGGCCCCGTCGCGTGTTAGTAATGACTGGTCGGAGCAACAGTACAGAACACCTCCCAAACTCGGCCAACAAAGTCCAACTCCTCATGCCTTCTGTTCCTCGCGGCAGCGAGGCGGCAACTGGCGGTAGCCCACGCAGCGCACGAGGCGGCGACGAGGCGACAGTGAGGCGGCAACGTGGCGAAACCTCGCCGGGCCCACCCTCGCGCACGAGGCGGCCACGAGGCGGCCACGAGGCGGCAACGTGGCGAAGCATGGCAGGACCCATTCAGCGCACGAGGCGGCCACGCGGCGGCCACGAGGCGGCAACGTGGCGAAGCCTCGCCAGACCCACCCAGCGAGGCGGCCACGGGCGGCAACACGGCCACACCTCGCCGGACCCACCCAGGCGCACGAGGCGGCCACGAGGCGGACGCGGGCGGCATCGCGGCGAGACTTGGCCGTGCCCCCCTGGCGCAAGAGGCGGCCACGGGGCGGCCACGGGCGGCAGCGTGGCGAAATCTCACCAGACCCACCCACCGCACGAGGCGGCCATGGGCGGCCACGCTGAAAATCCTTGGACGGACCCATCCAACTCCTTGGCGGCATAAGTGAAAACCCGAAGTGCAAGGGGAGTTGCGTGCATTGGAGGAGGAGGAGGAGGAGGAGGAGGATGAGGAGGTGGTGGCGGATGACCAGGAGGATGAGCATGAAGAGTAGGCGGAGGATGAGGAAGGAAGAAGACGAGGAAGAACAGCAGCAGCAGGAGCTGCAGTGGAACGAACGGGAGGAGCACGAGGACCAGGGGAAGGTGGATTGGGGTTGCGTTGTCAAAAAAGGAGGGAGACGACATCGATGACGAAGGACTATGGCCCAGCAAAGTGGCTCGCGCTTGTGCGAGAGCACCTTTCTGAACGACGGGAACATGCGCCGACCCTGCACTATGTTGAAGCACCGAGAACGTTCCGATTGGGAAAAAAACGCATC